GAAGGAAGGAAGGAAGGAAGGAAGGAAGGAAGGAAGGAAGGAAGGAAAAACAACAAACCCTCACATTCAGGCAGCAGACACTGAGAGCTCACTAATCTCTTTGGTATTTTCCTGGCAATATTTTCACTGCTTTCTATGAGAAAGTTGTTCATTTTACTAGATGGCTTTCAAAGATGAGTTTTTCTGTGAGCATCACTTTATACCAATAGAGGAACCACTCAGATATTTGACCAAGACAAGCAGAGCTACTTAACATTTTCTCCTTGGCCAAGGTCAGTATATCCAGAGCAAGCCATAACAGCTTGCCAAAGAAGGGCTGCACACCCAGCAGCCATCTGTGTAAACTTATCTCATATCCTTACCTTAGTGTAGAGTCTTCCAGAGAAATGCTGAATTCAGTAGGCAGCAAATCATTAACAATCTAGCTATCTTCACCACCACTCTAATGGCATATAGGAGTCATGTCCTGAATCTTGATGTAGTCATTTAGTGAGGCACTGGCACAGGTTGCCCAGAGAGGTCGTGGATGCCCGTCCATGGAGATACCCAAGGTCAGGCTGGAGTGGCTCTGAACACCCTGATCAAGCTGTAGGCGTCTCTGTTCATTGCAGGGGAGTTGGACCAGATGGCCTCTAAGGGTCTCTTCCAACTCAAACAATTCTGTGATTCTATGATTCTATGATTTCTGATTTGCAATGGAGCAGAACAGGGGGGAAGAAAATCTCATCAGTCTGGATCCCGCTCTACCTTCCAGACATCTCCTTAACAGCAGAAACAGGCTGTACAGAGGAATAAAGAAAAGCAGCACACCAACTATATTACACAATAAGTATTTATTGCTATCAGCATATGGGAATGGCTGCACCAGCTTACACGAAAAAGAGATTTGGTGTTTCTCAGTTCCTTGAGGCCCAGCAGCGTCTACTGTTGGAGAGGGATTTGCCATCTACCTCTCAGGGATACATTTTGATAGACTGTGTCAAGGGAGACTGCTGAAAGTTGCCCATGCATAAGGTTCATACAGGGAGACAGAATGAAGTAGTGCAGAGGGAAGAAGATATGTGTGTATGTATTATATATATATCTATAAAGAAAAAGGCAAATCACCCTGAATGAAAAAAATGCTGTCCTATCTTCAATCCACCACTGAACAGCTTTATTTTTATTTCATAAAGTTCATCGCTTTGTTTGTTTTGGGGAGAAAATCTGACTGTTTAATTTCAAGCACAAAAGCTAAAGCATCAGGAAAAGGTTGACTTTTTTTGTTCAGTTTCACCAGAAATTCAATTGTAATAAAAACAATAAGAGATTTCCAATTCATTTTTTCACAGTCACTGAATGTGAACTGAAAGCACACAGATGGAAGGGCTCATCTAAAAGGTCTTCAAACACATTTCTGGGGATTTAAATGTTGATATTATACAGGCAAATTTTGTGGTAGAATAATAAGAAGAGTATACTGGGACGTGATTTCTAGCTATGTAATAGTATTTACAAAGGAAGCGGGTAACACAGAGTCTTCTCAACCATTCCTGGTGGCACTGAAAATCCCACTGAAGATAACAGAAAATCAACATTTTTGATGAGAGCAAGAAAGCTGATGCAATCCAGACAAGTGGAATAGCCTTTGTGTTTCAGCTGGCGAGGGAGACAATGGAAGATGGTCTTGGTGCAGATGTTCTTCTTCCCTTCTTCTTATACACCAGATTCTTTCTGCTGGGGGTTTTCAGAATGGTCAGATGATCAAAATAATAATCCCAGCCTTAGTATCTCCCAAAGAAACGGTTGTAGGCCATGGGAAATCCTATTTGGTCAGACAGATAGTCACAGGGAGGGTAGCTTTCACAACGCTCACGCATCTGCTCCATTGGGCTTTTGTAATACTCGGAGTACCTGGAGTGAACAAAGAGAAAAATGCTGTTCTGCACATTCAGTCAGTGGGGTTGGAGAGGTTTCACACTCAAACATTGAGAGGAGTGACTCCCCAGAGTGCTCCTGAAGGGGACATCTCACGGCGGGTTAAATATCTGCCTACTGGGGATAGATCTCCTTATCAATGCTGGGAGAAGTTGGAACTGAACCCAGTTGAATCAACTGCCCTTGAAGTTTCACCAGCAAAGGAGACCATAGAAGCACATATGATTTTTGTAGAGTTAGTTTTTTGCTTGATTTGTTGGGGTTTTTGTTTTGTTTTGTCTTTGTCCCCAACCCCAGCTATGTGGCAGTCTTTTAAAATATACATATATTATTTATTTTATAATTATTTTATTTTAGTATTTCTTGCTTATCTTAATCTGTGCTCAGTTTCTGCTCATTTTCCTGTTCTCCTTCAGTTTTCATAGTTTCCTCTCATCACCCTCACTTCTGCTGTAGACAGCAATCCTTTCCTTTTCACAGCTTTGTTTCACCATGCTGAGCACACCCAAATCTTTTAGTCTCAGCTACACACACTGGATGCCCTTCTCATCTCCTGTTGCAGACTTACTTAAGCTTTCCTGCACACACTGCTACAGGAAAAGACTTGAAAGTGTCACAAGCTATTACTTTATTTCTGTATTGGAAATTCCCTGCAGCACCCTTGAGTTCTAATTGTTGCATCTGTATTTCCAGACTAACCTTACCTTGTGATTGAATAACACAGCAAGCTCTCTCTACCTAAGTCCTTCCTCATGTATGCTTGTTGCAGAAACTACTTTTATGGTGACCCACCTGTACGGAGGCAGTCAGTACAGTTTCTCATCTGAATTTCATTTTGTTTTTAATCATTCCAGGTTTCAAGCGGAGTGACCTCTGCTACCCTACTATGATCCTCTTCTCTGTAGATGGGAACTCCCTGTTTTCTGTCATCCAAACAAAACCATCACCCTTCCAATCCAAAGACGTATTGAATAATAATTATTCTTGACACAGGCCTACATGAGACTGTGGCTTAACAATTGCTTCTAGGAAATATATGAAAAGCATTCTTGCTCAAATTTCTCCAAATGTTTTTATCTAGGATTTCTCCAAATCTCTCTGCCTAGATTGTAGAATGTCTTCGGTTGGAAGGGACCTTAAGATTGTTGAGCTCTAACCCCTGTGCCTCAGGCAGGGCTGCCACCCACCATATCAGTCTGCCTGAGCCCCATCCAAGCTGGCCTTGTACACCTCCAGGAATGGGGCATCCATGTCTTCTCTGGGAAATCTGTTCCAGTCCCTCACCACCCTCGAACAAATGGATATAATGCACAAATGGGCGCAGGTTTAGATTTAGCCTCACCACTGCACTGCACCTGGGCTGTAGCTCCTTTGTACGGAGGTTGAGGCAATGGTCAGGGATCTGTGATACTCACTATGCTGGAATTTGGATCTAATGTCTCCACAGGTTTGTGCAGCTTCTAACTTGTACCCTGCTGACCCCAGCTAGTGCTGTCTTTCTTCATGGGAGGGCATAACAAAGATCAGCAATGAACTCCTGAAGGAGTATTTGTGAAAAAAAGAACAATTGATCTATCAATGGCAGGTTCTTACTGCCTTTTTAATTCTAGGTATGATATGTAGATGTACAGCAAAGAATTGCTTTGCCACATCCCACCCCCTCTTCCAAAAAGTCATCTGGACTCCAACTCTCATCCTGGCTCACGTGATTTTACCATTCATACATGTCGAATCTCTTCTGCCTCTTCACAAAGGCATTGGCAACTTCCTTTTTAACTGTGATGCCTACCAAGAGAGAACACAGCAGATTAGAGATGTAGGGCCATGGTCTGTACAAATCAGAGACCAGCGTAGCCTCTGAAAAGTGATTGTTCTCTCTCTTCTCAAGCAGAAGACTGTTGCAGCTCATCCCAACTGCCAGTCCATTTTTCCCCACTCAGTTTTCCACTCAAAGCCATACAGTTTGGTTCCCCTCTCACCCCAACCTGCACATTTACGTGAAGAAAGGACTCTCTTAAATTCGATTCCCCTATCATGATATTAGTGCACAGCAAATGCTCAGTAGACAAAGTCATGACAGAATAAAATATGAATAAGGAGAAAATGAAGGGAACGGCATTCTGTGTCTCTAGATCAGTTAGTTTCAGAGTCTTGGCTTGCTTTCTCTCTCCTAGGTTTAGCCAGGTTCCCTTGTACAGGATATTGACTGCACAGAAATGGCCAAATAACAACCTGTCAGAAATCACCGCCTTTCCCTGAACGCTTTGGGTTTGTTTTTTTTTTTTCTCTTTCCCAGTTAATGTTTGTATTGGCTCACTGGAGAAACAACTTTCATGCTCACCAGCAGGAATGTCATCCTGCAAGGTGTGAAAAAGGAGACACAAGGAAGAACAAGGGAGATTTTCCATGCAGATTTCTGTCAGCTTGCTATGATACCTATGGACACTCCGAGGTATGCAGTTCCCTGCAGCATGGGCAACCCAATAGAAGAGGGACTGCAACCCCCAGCAGCTGCCAAGGAAGGTACTTGCTTTCAGATACAAAACTTTCTTCTCTGTTGTCCTATGCACTAGGCTGTCTGACCAACAGATCCAAAGACCACTGTTTGGAGGCCCTGAGTCAGGTTCTGCTCTTGTAAGAGGCTGAGGGCATAGCAGCCTCTTCAGAGAGGTTTCTGAGGCCAGCTCAGAGGAGCACAGAGGCTGGACACACTGCTCCTCCTACGTCACACTGTTTCATGAAAGGGAGATGCAATATGATTCTTGTTCATCCCTTGAACCCATCAAAGGGAAGAAAGGAAGAAGATATAGGAGAATGGAGCTAAGTGTCAGTCACAGCAATATACTCACTGGCAGCACTGGGAGATCCTGAGGGCTCTTTGGGATCTGCAAGACAGACAGATAGACAGGAACTTGCTTGTGCTGTCTGCTCTTCTGCTTCTCTCTCTAAGTGAATTGCTCTGCTTACTGAATAAATCCAGCTCTCTCTCTTTTCCAAAAGTTCGGTCCCTCCCAAAAAAGGTTTTATCAACACCCAGAATGTAGGGAAAGAATTATCCACCACCAAATTCACCTATTATGATCAGATGCATTTAATTTCATCTTTCTTATAACAAGATAAAAATGACACAGTAACCATACAGCACAGTGGAAACTTGAGGCAGACCTTCCTTTTCCTCCCTCCTCATCCTTGCTAAGAGCAGGGACAGCAGGAGGGAAGGGAGCATTTCAGCAAAACCCTAGATTTGGACAGGACCAGAAGATCATAGAATCATATTATTATTTGAGTTGGAAGGGATCCTTAAAGGCCATTTGGTCCAATTCCTCTGCAATGAACAGGGACACCCACAGCTCGATCAGGGTGCTCAGAGCCCTCCCAGGCTGACCTTGGGTGTTTCCAAAGATGAGACATCCACCACCTCTCTGGGCAATCTGTGCCAGTGCCTCATTATCCTTATTGTAAAAAATTTCTTCCTTATATTCAATCTAAATCTCCCCTCTTTTAATTTGAAACAATTTCCCCTTGTCCAGTCACAACAGACCCTGCTAATGAATCTGTTCCCTTCTTTCTCACAGCCCCCCTTTAGATAGCTGACTGTCTCTTCTATCTTTGGAGATAGAGATTTCCCTGACAGAAATCGCAAGATATTGACAACAAAGAGAATTAGGGCCAAAAATTAGGATAAACTCTACACTTTGCTACACTCTTCACACACTATTTCTGTTTTCAGTCCTAATTGTAATCCTAATCCTTAATATCCCCTGCAAGCATCCAAACAAATTTTCTTCTAACACACATGGTAGGTCTCCTTTTCATCTTGGTTTTCCCACACAGGAAAAGTTCACAAGTTTTTTCTCCCACTATTTCATCAGGTATTTGGCATGAGTGTGCTTACAGGCAGAGAAAGAGCTGTGGAGACCAAAAAAAAAAACCAAAAAACAACAACAACAAAAAACAACCAACAAGCTAAACAAAACTGTGCTTAAACAAAGACTTTGTGTGAGAAGAGTTGTTTGTAGTTCTATTTTTAAGCAATGCATACATTCCTTGGATTTCAAAAATAAAAATAAAAATTAGAAGTTACCCCAAGGCTGTTAAACAATCTGGAACGTAGTAACAACTAACAAAAAAAGCAGAGATACACTCAGCAGTGAGAAAGTGAGCAAGAGACTGACAGAAGAAAAACACAGATCAAACAAAATATATTTGCCAGTACTGAATCATGACACGTCTGATGCAGAAACTCAACACTGAATGAGATAATACAGGCAGACAGGGCCCCTTCTTACTTGGCTTCTCTTTTCCTGCAGCAGAAACACTTGCTGTTTCTCATCTTCCCACCCTTCCCTCTCCATGAACTCTTGTGCTAAACACTGCATTGATCTCTCTTGATCATAATGTCACCATGCCTAAATCCTCTTCAAATGTGATATGCTCTTATTCAATGGGACAACTCCCATTCTTTTTGTAAATATCAATAGGTGGTTTTTTTCCCCTCCAGAGTTCTCCCCATTCCACATTTTTCAGCAGGTGAAGACTTGACTCAGTGCATATCTCTGCGATTTTACAACACTTCAGTGCTGGCAGGAATAAAGTCTCCTGTTCTTGACACAGCTCTGCCCTGCAACTCACCCTGATGACCCAAAATTGAAGACCCAGCATGCCTTTGCCAGTTCATCTAATTGCCAAACTGGTTTCACACTTCAGTATGTCAAAATGTTGGAATTCTCTGCTGCAGTTCAGAGATGGAAATGCCTATGTTTTTGACCAACGGAAGAAAGAACCCAGTAGCAGATAAGGCTGTCTATCCCCAAATCCCTCTGATTTACTACTATGGTACAGCCTCCCAGACTAAGATAGAGCAGTGTTTTCAAGGAAGATGTCCCTTTCCTTACCTTTCTCACAGCAGCAGTGCACTGCCAGGGCCAGAGTCAAGATCATTGGTGTCAGTAGCTTCCTCATGTCTGCTTTGCCTTTGCTGCTCTCCCTACACTCAGAGTGTTCTTGGAGGCTACTGAGGCACTCTGGAGTCAGCTTTTGAGCATCGTTTTATATCCGGTAATTGCCTGGAAAGATCAAGGCTCTGGCTTGTGTTCCTGAGTCTGAGCTCCAAAACAAAGCCTGTCCTTCGGGCCACAAAAGATTGGGTCCTGGCAGCCATTTGGACATCCATCTTGGGACTCATGGCTTTTCCAGAAGATTTTATCTGATATTTTGAATAGGTTTGTTGAAGAAAAACAACTGGATAAAAAATCACTTTTATTGTAAACATAGAAGTGATTCAGCTTCCTGAAGGAAAGCCAGAAGAGAGACCAGCACATCCAGAAGTGAAGCAGATGCTTTGGTGTGATGGGACTCTCCCATGTGGAAAATGAGTCTGAACCTGATGGTGACCTTTTTCCCCAACCACACTCATACCTCTAAAGGAAAAGGCACCCATAAAATGTTTTTCATAGGGCAAATATACAGTAGGTTTTCACTTCAGACAGTTTCAACAAACCTTTGAAGAGATTTGAGATGTTTATAGTATTGGGATCTTTGATAGATAGTGAGGTGGAACCTTTCTTTTTTCTTCCTGGAAACCTTCCCAATTTGGTGGCGAATGCCTTGGCTTCTCTTGTCTCAACATCAAATAAGCCTCAATACTCCAGAGGTGTTGTACTCTTCAGAACTTGGGTGACTATGGTTACTTGGTACATCAAGAGGCGCATGCTGGGAACAGGCGTTTGCCAGGCCCTGACCCAAAGCAAGGACTGTGCTCCTGACAGCTCATGTCAGCATGTTCCCCAAGCAGTGATGGTGTTTGCAAAGCCCCGTGTGTGTGGAAGTATCCCTGCTGTACCTGCTCAGATCCATTGAGGAGCATCCAGAGCCTGCACTGCTTGTAGTACTGATAGCCAACCAACAATTCAATCCATCAACCAACCAATCATGTATTCGAAATAACCTCAGGCTGTTTTTTTGTCTCTCCAGTTCAGCAGAATTTTAGTGAGTATCGTAGCTCTGTATTAAATGCTGAATTGTCATCGGGTATGGCCTGCACTATGGTGACATTTCAGCTTATGGCTGAATGACATTTATTCAAAGTCAGACAACAGACAGTGCTCCTGCACACACACAATATATCAAAACCTCCTCTTCCTCCTCTACTGAGATGCTTTTTTTCTACCGATAACCCATATTCCCATATTCTACTATGCCAGCCAAGTTCCCAAAGCTACATCCCACACAGCACATGGATCACATCTTCCTTCACCTCGTGTTTGGTTCTCCACAGCCCCGCACACAGAGTTACATAACTAAAAGGCTCCCAAGGGCAGTCACCTCCACTGGAGATTCTGCTGATCATTATAAACACAGTCTTTCATCTTACATAGAAATCAGAGAAATTTCAGGATTAAAAAATATGTGTAGCTTTTCTGCAGTCCAGGACAGACTGAATATATATACTAACGACATCCAGAAGAAGTGTCTTGCAGAGCAACAGTTTAAAAATAAATAAATATCAACAGCAATAGGTATCTTAGGAAAGGATAAGCAAAAGAAAGCTTGAAAGAGTATAAATACACAATTGTAATCATGCAAACAGCCTAACCTTTCTTCCTAGCTTTTTCGAAGCTTTTTAACCTGTATTTAGTCTCTCAAGCATGTTTGATTATCATTTACATTAATGAAAACCCTCTGAAAACTGATATTATTCATTATTTATTCGGGTAAACTGGAGGTTGGAAGTGCTAGATATTTTTGGACGCAGACCCAGACAGCAATAGCCCCATGCATTCTGTTTTGGTGGTGTCACGGTGTCAAGACAAACCCAAACACTGCAGACTTGTTGACTTTGGTGATCTTAATACTCAACTCTTTAGGAACATGCAGAACAAATGAGAGTGCAAATATACCTAATCTGAGCAGTGTTTTTTCACAACACTCATTTCTCTCTCACTTTTTCCTTTGGACAAAACCTCAGCAACTGTCAGGGTGGAGTTTCCTATCAGAAGTGTTTTCAATAAATAAATCTGTTTTCTTCCCAAAGATTCATCTGCCAAGTTGGCGAAACCACAAAGCATATTTCTGAAAAGATGTATGTTTCCACTCTGGAAGGTAGATTTGGCTCTACATTTAATTTCATAGAATATTCAACAATTTGATACTTCATACCTTATAGACTTTGACAGTGTGCTGTCATATTTCCCATTTCTCTAATTTGCAGGTCACTGGGGAAACCTGAAGATGTGCAAAATGAAACAAGCTGTGCTGAGCTGAGATTGAGGATTTTACACCTGCACACCCCGCACTGATGGGTATCCAAAGAGCTGTGGCTGCATCCTGCTGCCTCCCAGACAGCAGAATAGATGGGTGGGAGCTGTTGTCTGTTGCTGTCTGTTGTTCTGGCTGTTGTCCCTGGTGCCACTGGGTGACAGAGAGAGTGACTACCAAGAAGGAGACCCACTGCCTCCTTCAGTCACTTGCCACTCCCAGAGGCCCATTGTATGACCTCCTCACCACACAGGACAGGACTTGCTCCTTGCTCCTCAGATCTGAATCTCTCGTTTGTCCCTTGCCTTTTCATAGAATGATTTGACTCCCAGCTATCCTCGCCCTCATGGGTTCAGAGAGACACAAGAGGGAACAAAAAGTACAAGGGAATACAGTGTTCTATTTTGGGCCCCTTTCTACAAGAAATACATCAAGGCAGTGGAGAATGTCCAGAGTACAGCAATGAAGCTGCGAAGAATCTGGAGCACAAGTCTTATGAAGAGTGGCTAAGGGAACTGGGGTTGCTCAGTCTGGAGAAGAGGAGGCTCAGGAAAGGCCTTATCACTCTCTACAACAATCTGAAAGGAGGTGGTAGAGAGGTGGTGTTGGCCTCTTCTCCCAGGTAACAGCAATAGGACAAGAGGAAATGGCCTCAAGTTGCACCAGGGGAGGTTCAGATTGGATATCAGTAAAACCTTCTTCGAAAGAGCGATGATGCACTGGAACAGGCTGCCCTGGGAGGTGTTGAAACAACTGTTTCTGAAGGTGTTCAAGAACAGGGCAGATGTCACACTGAGAGAAATGGTCTAGTGCAGTCACAGGCATGGGTTGATAATTGGACTCAATGATCCTACTGGTCCTTCCAACCCTAATGATTCTACAATTCAAACTGATTTTCTGTGTTAACAAGGAGAATTTATGTCTGCATTCTTGGTTTTATCTGAAGAAATAAAAAATAATAATTTCCATATAATATTTCAAAGTAAAAGGCTAACGCTAAAGTTTTCTGGAAGAAAGGAGATAAAATAGCACTCCTAATGAAAATATGAATAAAATCTGGGCCACGTGCTCCTTTCTGCAGAAGCACCATATACCAGGATCGAAGGGTGGCTGGGAGAACAAGGTGCCATTGGCAGGTTTTTTTCTGTCACTAGTTTTCATACCAACTTTGTCTTTAGGATTAAACAGACACTTGGATGTTGTTTACTCAAGTGAGGAAATCTCGAAGAGATTTTGTTTTCAACAAGTGCATCTCACCCTGCCTTCTGAACACCAGACCATTTTAAAATGTCCTAAGGCTGGGAACTGAAATTTGCTAGTGATGTCTAAAATAAGTCAGCTGTAGGCCCCGGAGCAAAATAATTGTACATTCTTTTAAACCTCATGTGACTGTGTGGTAAGGTTGTTTCCATTATGGTTGTTTCCATTATCTGCACCAGGTTCTATGATAAAGAAACTCAGCTTCTTCATGAAAAGTCATCCCCTAAAATACTGTGAGTCATGAGATGATAGTGTCAAACCAGCAGTTTATTGTGCAGCAAACACCCACATCCTGAACTCTCTCTGATCTCTACTACATCAGCTCAGCGCTAATTAACACAATGTAGGAATCCATGGCTACATGGGAGAGAAGCAGCAGGCAGGATAACATACAGGGACACAAGCAACTGAATATGTTTCAGAGCTATTGCTTTTCCTAGGAGGTTACCCTGAGGTCCAAGCCCCAGGGTGGGGACAGATCATCTTTACTTATTCCTCCTCCTCCCAAAATAGTGCCTGTAAGCAGCAGGATAGCCATGGTTAAGAGCATACTGTTCACACAGGTAGAAGTCCTCACAGATCTCCCTCTGACGTTCCTGAGGTGCCTTATTGCGTTCCCTGATCCTGCAAAAGAAAAAAATTAGGGGTGTTATCTTAAATATCTGTCTATGGCCCTTTTCTGCCTTACCAGGTCTAAGGGTCCATCCCAGCCTCTACCACCAAGACCATGGCATTACAGTGTTCACCGTACTCAGGGTGTCAGTGTGACTACAGCAGGTGTGGTTGCCCCCCTATGTAACCTTTTACTTCATGGCTAAGTAGGGTGGTGGGGATAAGAGGCTGGCTCCTGTCTCGGCCCGTTGCTGCAGGAGTAGTCCCCCAGTCAGATCCCTCCAGCTCTTCTCTGCTCTTCCCTAACCCCACACATGAAAATAGGAGAGCAAGAAGCTTCCTGCTAAGGGCTATCTGAGACTGATGATAGGGTTTCCCTTCTGTGCCTCAGCCCTTATTTTCACAAGCCCTGCATAAGATGTAAAACAGCCTATATCTGCGTTCTACAGATGAGGAAAAGAAGCTCACCAAAGGCTTTGCAATTTAGAAGAATTTATGCAAATAATGCACAAGTCTTGAGGACTGGAACAAGATCTCAAACTGAGCTTCCCTTCTGTCTGGCCCACACTGATTCCTTCTCCTTTTGCTACTCCTTCCTTCAGACAAATTTAAAAAGAACTCCTCCAGTGCAGAACATGCCCTTGAATGCACGGACTCACTCTGCTTTCTGAGAGGTGTTCAGGAACAATATGGATGTAGTACTGAGGGACATGGTTAGTGGGCATGGTGGGGATGGGCTGATGGTTGGCCTAGATTACCCCAGTGATCTTTGCAACCTTAATGATTCCATGGTTCATTCTCCCAGGGTTGGCTCAAGCAGAAAGGGGGACTAAGGCTTCTGAGAAGTCACTGTGGCTTCTCCCCTGGTACTAGCCTATCACTGGGAAAGAGATACCTCTCCATGCTCCCACCCTCAGTGTT